TAATATTGTTAATATTTTTGAAAACAATGCTAGCTGGCCACCTGGACAGCTCATTAGACAATGATGTGATGTTATTACCATATATATATTCGTTAGCTAGACTATTTAATCCTGTCATCTAGTTTCAAATACTCTTCAGGAAAAAGAATTGGATTTAGGTTGAGCGGGTACATTCATAAATAAAAGATAAATAAGTAGTAGTAATTTAATGGTTTTTGAATTTCTTCACAGATCTATGAATGAATAAGATGCCAAAAGAGTAACAGTTTGGCAAGTCTTACGAAATAATTAATTATGTCAGGTGGAATACTGAATTTTAAGCCGTCAAAAAGTGACAGCAAGTCTGCAGAAATTAACTTAGAACATCGATCTGGACAGGAGCAAACGAATGTAAGTTGTAAGGGATGTTCCATTTGATTTGCTGCCGAAAGACATATGGTAGGAAACCTTAACTGTTCATCTTTTGAATGAATTTATTGAGTTGGTTCTGTTGAAATCTACTCCACTCAATCCAACTTAATAACTACTATTATATATTTCTCCCCAACTCCTTTGTTCATAGTAGTACTACTTAATTACAGCATGATGTTATATTGTTAAAAAGTTTAATTTTTTTTATAATGGTGGCATCTTTACCAATTTGCGCATCTCAACTATTTTTATTGAGTACCTGCTACCTTCGACCGGAGCAGTTACCGAGTATTCCTGCCTACCAGGGCTTAGGTAGATGGCACCTATACTCCTCGTCCCAAGTCTGTCAAAAAAAAAAATCATACATTTTTTTATTTAGAAATAATTTAACTTATTTATTTTACTCTTAATAATATGATTTATAGTCATACAACCATTAATGAATTGTTATAGAATACAAATTTCAAAAGTATTTTCTTTTTCTTTTAAATTCTGTACTCAGTCAAAATGCATCACATAAAATGGAACGGAGTAGGATTTTTGATTTTTATTTTTATTTTTTTATTTATTTTGCTTTCGTAGGGATTTTAATAGACTTCGTGGTTCTCCTCCCATTTTATTGAATACTAGGCCATACCCCTTGGATGATTTAGACTTGAAAGTTCAACTCCATATAGCATCAAACTATATTTATAAGCCTAACATTACAATATATCTTATCATTCCCAGATCTTACCAGACAGTGTGCTGTCCTCACTACCCTTCCAATCTTTATGGTACAAATTGTAATTTTTTAAAAACCCAATAAGTCTAATTACTATCCTAAAAAAATTCTCAGATTTGCTGATACAGCTTTAAATTCAAACGTAGTTGTTGACCAAGCTGGGATAGATGTATCCCCTATATAGTTGGATTCATTATTATCTGCTCTCCTGCTTATTCTCTGACTGTCAATCTAAGCCTTTAACTCCTCAACTACTTATTATTCAAAATGTAGTTTTTTTCCTTTTGGGTCTTATTTTGGAAGGGGAAAATTTGATGAGTGTAACACAAAGAGGAAAACAAAATTAGCATATATATATGAGAGGGTTTCTTTTGCCAAATAAATAAAGTATATACAAAAATCATGAAAGAGTAATTATTGACTTATTGCATGCTAACTCTAATTCAGAAACAATTTCTGTTAAAACAAGTACACAAAGAGAAAGTACCAAGGATTCCACTTATACATATACTAAATCTTTGAAATGTACTAAGGGGTGGTCAACCTTATTCAACTTAGTTATTGCAGCTAGTAGATTTGCACATAAAGTCTCATTTATGTGTCATAATTAATAATCAAGGTCCAGTGCCAATTCACCCTAATTACGAGTGAGTAAAAGCAAACTTAATTGTTCAAAGCTGTACGACCAGAATTATGGTCAAACCTTATGCATATGTATTTTTCACAGCAACTAGCACAAAATTGCATGTAAAAACAATGATAGACATTGTTTAATATATATATATATATATATGTGATGTCCTTGTAACAGATATTTTCATGAACACTGCTTCTGTTTGTTTTGAAGCGCAACTGGATAGATTAAAGAAGCTAAAATAAAATAAAATAAAATAAGTTGCTGCAAAAGTTAGGGTACAACCCCCCTTTTTGTGCTTGGCGGGGCTTGTCTTGGCTTTGCAATGTTGGCATCGGCAACAACACATGGCTGGGCGTCGCGTGTTGGGGCTGTTGTTGGCATGCATCGGCGAGGCAAGTGGACGTGCGGCACATGAGTGGTGTTCGGCTTGTGTGGCTAGGTTGGATCCCTGCTTGAGCAGCGACGTCCTAGCCCGCATGCCATCTCAGTCATGGCACAAGCGTAAATTAGGCTTGTTCAGCGTCAGTTTTCTGTGTTGCATACCTAATGCCAAGGCATTATCAAGCACAATCGGTTACCTTTCGCCCCTCGCGTTCGACGTGCGGGGTGAACCAAAAGCTGCAGTTGTGTCCCAGGTCGTCCTTGCTTCGCCCTGCGATGGCTTGGTCCACGATTAGTATGCTCGGACTCTCGGGTTCGGGAAACGCTATGGGCATGGGGTCTTCATTGGCTCCTATCCGCCCAAAGAATGCTCCTTACGAATGACGATCGTGCTCGTCTTGGACTTGGCTGTGCCCTTTGGGTCGGCCATGCTAGGAAGTAATGTGAAGTGGAAGCAATATCACCGTCTCTTCAATTTATGGCTAGAATTTGCATTAGAGGGGGTAAAAAAGAGAGAGAAGCTCTAAATCACTAATTGGAAGATCTAGAAAGCTCTATCAAGACGTTTAGACATATGATTACATGGCAGAAGGTGAGCTATAGTTTCAAATTCGATTTGAGCATCTAAATTTGGGTCAATACCGGTAAAAAATATTTCCCAACAAGGTTGTAGTACCATGTTCAAGTGTGTCCAAAGAAGAGCAAAGCAAACGAGGCATACCCAAAAGTAAACCAATATCTTGGATTGCTACGATAAATAGCACCAGAGTTCAAAGTAGCACGATCTAAGCAAAATTTTCACCAAATTGAACACGTCTAGCATATTTTTTCATAATAGCAAGAGCATTAACTATAACTGACACGGTTGAGTTAACCTCCATACAACTCAACAGTTACACAAGAAAACACCAATTTACTGTAAAGATTTACTACTACTAGCACATGATGATACAACCTAGGGAGAACCACACCCCAAAAGCTAGCTATTAAGGTGGGAGAGCCCAAGGCTATATAAACCCCACATCAACACTTTGTAGTACCGATGTGGGACTCAAGTCCCATTCCTTGCAATAGTTCATAACAAGCCACCACGCTTCGCACCCGTCGTCCTCGACGGCTGTGCACTAGACATTTTTAGCCCGGGCGAACACTGCAATACCGGCGTCACCATCCAAGGCACGGTGGGCACAGAGGGTAGTGGATGGCTCTGATACCATTGATACAACTAGGGAGAACCACACCCCAAAAGCTAGCTTTTAAGGTGGGAGAGCCCAAGGCTATATAAACCCCACATCAACACTTTGTAGTACCAACGTGGGACTCAAGTCCCATTCCTTGCGATAGTTCATAACACATCAAATATGAAGTGGTTAGACACTCACATAATATATTTTCATCTAGTACCATAAACACCTAAACTATTGGTTTTAGTGTGACGATTTGTTAACTTTCTGATTGAAGTGCATAAAAAATTCACCTTGAATTTATTTTTTTGCAATATTTCCGTGTATGTTATAATCAAAAGTGCTTTTTCATTCAAATTCTTTTCCAATATTTACTTCATGTTTAGGTCTTTAATGTTTACTGTCGATTACTTAGTTGAATAAATAAATCATCAGTTTTAATATTTGATGTTTCTTCTCCTCATGAGTGAAGGTTAGATTTCATGAAAAAAAGCTACTTCATTTATCAATAGCTGTCGGAATTTGCAAATTTATGACTTCCATATTTTTGAACTTGTAGATGAGTATTAAACTAAGTTCAGTATAAATAAAAATAAATGAAGTAGAAACTGCTGAATTAAAATCTCACCAGAAAATTGATCAATTACACCTAGCAAACGCATGCATTAGATATAATGAGATAAACAAGACAATAATCTTGCCAATTCTGGGTACAAGTTTGACTGGCTAATTAAGGCCATTTATTTATGAAATGATTCAAAAGAGGCAAAAAACTTATGGTTGGCACTATTCTTCTTCATTGTTCCCATCTGGGGTTGGAAGAGATTTCTCCCCAATTTATTATATATGGATATGAATTTAATCCTGAAGTAAATTGCCGTATCCAGGAAGGTCTATGAATTCAAAATTCTAATAATTATTCTTTCAATCAACCTGAACAACAAAGGCTAATCATGTCAAAACTGCAATATCCCATAAATCATAATTTGGTACAAGTTTAATTGACTGGCTAATGTATTTTAAGGCCATTTATTCATGAAGTGATTCAAAGGGGCAGCACTACTACTCATCATTGTTTTTATGTGGGTTGGAAGAGATTTTCTCTCCACTTTATTATATTGACTTGAATTTATTCTGAAATTAAGAGTTCATTATTCACCTAGTTTTGAACCTGAATCATTTGTTACACGGGATTTCTCTGTTATAAAATAAGAAAGTGCCTTACCCGTGAGGCTCCTGTGTCAAAATGCTAGCTTTTCTATTATATTTATGCATGAAGTAAATTTAGTCGATCAGCATTTAACTATTTTATAACAAGCAAGAAATATCATGAAACTTTTATATATATATATATATATATATATATATATAAAGTTACGGTATAAGGTGTTACATTCCTTTCATTCATCCAAAATAAGAAGGGAAAAAAGAGAGAGAGCATATATAACTGGTGAAATAATCAAACAACAAATTTTATTCATAAACACATTCTCTGTCTTGTCTACACCAAGCAGAAAAAATTAGGTCAAAACAGTACTACAATTTTTCCATATTGCATAAATCAACCAAAAAAAAAAAAATCAAACAGGGTGAAAATAGGAGATATAACACTGTAAAAAAGTAACAAAAAGTTGCCTAAGTACAACTTAAGACCCAGTTTAATTTATTCCTGTCTGTGATGTCTGCAGGATAAATGTTTTTCTTGGTCCAGTGGCTGAAATTGATAACTGGAGTTTGCCAAATAAATTGAGCTAGGGTTACCTGCATATGCCATTGGTGCATATTCCCAGTTTCCAAGGAAACCCAAGAAGCAGTTTCCAGAATCTAAGCCTCCTACTGCTGCTGAGGAATTTGCATAGTAATTTGAAATGAACTGATGTTCTAGAGATTGAGAATTTGCTTCAAAGGGAGAACCCTTTTCTTGATTGACACTTGTATTATTATAAGAATTGTTGTTGGAGTATTCTTGATCAAGAAAACCACTGTTGCTTGATGACCCTAAATGGTCAAGAATATTAGTACTACTATTAGGGTTTGTTTCATACCATTGTTTATTGCACTTTTTGTCAAGACCTTTAATCATCATTTTCTCTTTTGTTCTTTCCCTAGCCCTTGCTCTTGCTTTGTTTCTTGACTCTCTCTTATGTGGATTATTTTGCACCATTTCACTCAATCTATCATTCATGTTTATGTCTTTTCCTCTCTCTTTCCCTTCATTGTTTGAGTTCTCCTCCCATCTTGATAGTACTTCACATTCAGACATAAGAGATTCACTCTTTTGATCTTCACTACTTGAAGTATTATTATTGATAATCTTGTTACCATCACTATAATCCTTTTGTGGTATGTTCTCTGAGAGCTCAGATATGGCATTATTGGATTTGGAAAACAACCATTCTATAGTTTTACTTGCCTTATCAAAGCCTAACATGTCTTGGAGATCGAAGAACTTACGCGCTATGTGAAGTGACAATCTCACTCTCCGATCTCTCACACCTTGAGCAGTGCAAATCTTGCTATGCCTATCTTTCTTCCCAGTTCTCCTTCGCGGTGGCGTTGCACTTAGATTTCTCTTCTTTGATGATGTTTTAGCTGCTTCAATAGACATTTCCTCCTTTGATGTCTCACAAGAAATATTATGAGTAAAATTGCTCTCTTTGACATGGTGATGATCACCAGCCTCTTGATCATGGTGATGCTGATGAGACAATATTTGGTTCAAGGGCAATTCATTATTGTGATCATCAAGAAATGGAGAAGGAAAATTCAAGAAAGATGCAAGATCTTCTTGCCTTGAACTTGAACTAGGGTTTTGATGATGATTATATGTAAAAGACTTTTCAAATAATGCTTTTGAGGTGTAGGGATTAAAGGGTTCTTGGCTGTTGCCTGAAGGAAACATTTGTAGAGTTTTGTCAAAAAAAAAAAAAAAACCAAGAAAAAGTAATGGCTAAATTAGGTTAAATTGTTCAGCTTATAATGGAAAGTGTTGCTTTATTTTCTATCTTGAACATGTCCAAGTAGGAAAGGTTGAGAGGAGTGGAGGATAGGGCTTGACTATAGCTATGATGAAGAAGACATGATAGTGGTGGTGGTGGTTGGAAGGAAAAAAATATAGATTCTGCAGACCATGGAAAATTAGAAAAGTAAAGGTATCTATTTATATTCGAATCTCACTCTGTCTTTCAAGTAATATTTTGTACACTCGCTCTGATTTAGTCCATCTCTCAAATTTATGTGACACTGCTGTTTTAGTCTATCTCTCAAAGAATGAGATTTATCTATATTTACACACCATCTAACTTGAAATTTCTCATTTTAACATGATTTATATACGGTATAATTATCTACGACTTGTTTTAAGCACAAGTTTTAAAGTTTTTCTTTCTTTCTAAAATTTCAAAACTTTTGTGTTCGATCAAACACTCTCATATAAATTAGGACGGAGGGAGAATTAATTTATAGGACAACACTCTAACCAATTTAAAACGCCTTAGTATTTTAAACTCTGGCATGATCTTTTTTATCAAACTAATTAATTAAGTACTCCCTTCTGTCTCAACTTAAAGGCATAAATTGAAGGGCACAGCATTTAAGGAAATAAGATAGACTTTTAGAATTTATGCTTTTAAAATTTATATTTTTAAATATATCATAATATTTATATGGGTATAAAATTTTAAGATTTATGATTTTAAATATGTCATAACATTTTGTGTGATCATAAGAGCTTGTTAATTATTAAGGATAAAATAAGGAGTTCAACTTAAATTATTTTTATATACAGAAATGTGTCATTTTTCAAAACGGACTAATTACTAAGGAAACTCGTGATTTTTTTCTTTTTATTTTTGGAATGGAGGGAAAACCTTTAACCATTACATACTTCTTATAGTGTTTAATATATGCGCCTCGACTATTTTACTTGATACATATTACCTCAATTACAAATAACTTTGCTTACCAAAATATAAGAATATGAGAAGAAATTACTTCATCTTTAGCTACGAGATTTGCACACTGCTCTCACATGATTTTCACGAGCTTCATTAGCCTTCACTTCCATCATTTTTCATTATATAAACCACAATTAAAGTGAATATGGAGTAAATGTTTTGTCTAGTCAAATACAGTTTGTATAAATTAAAATCACAGTACATGTTTTGGAATTGATGATAAGGGACAAAATAGAATGTGACAGTACTGTCACCGGGAGCAGGTGAGAGAGATTGATAGCAGTCAGACTTAGAGGGAGGAGGAGCTACGGAGTGAGGGAAGAAAAACTCATCATATATTTTATCAATTCAAAAAATGTAAATATATAATTTTATTGATAAATTATAATTAATTAATATATACTATAATCTTAATTTTGACTTAAAAACTTCCTTGTCTTAATTTATGTGATATTTTTTGCTTTACGAGATTTAAACTTCTTAGTTTTTATTGTATATTTGGACACAAAATCTTTAAGTTTAATATAATAAAATTTATATATTTTGTAACTCAGCAAAAGGTACTATAAATCACAATAATTAATAATTTAAAATATTTAAAGATATATAAAAAAATCAATCAAAGAATAATATATTTGGCTTGCGAAATCTGAACATTATAACATAAAATGGGACAAAAAGAATAATATAATTTGATATAAATATCGGATGCGAGTGGATTTTTATTAAGAAAATGTTGAGCTAAGAGAAGGCAAGGAAATGGGTGAATATTTTTGTGGAGTGGTGGAGGGAGGTCTATGAAAGTGTTTTAATAGGGGTAGGTATTGGCCAAAGCCTATAGCTATGAAAACCTAAAGAGAAGGACAATTATTTCAAGCAATATTAAAATTGCTTTACTACACATTAAAAACTTTGAAGGCCATGCTCCCTTTGACTTCTGTGTATCATTTTCAATTCTAAAGTTTGCAAACCCCACTTCCCTTCTTAATTTCTTCCTGTCTTTAGATCACTAGCACACACACTAATCAAATCAATCAAAAACGTTTCAATTGTAAAATACTCCCTCCGTTCGATCCATTGTATAATGAAGAAATATATATATATATATATATATATATATATATATATATATATATATATATATATATATATATATATATATATAAATAAAAATTTAAATGTTTTTAAATATAAAAAATATCATTTTAATATATATACTAAAAAGAAAAGTGTAACTTATAAAATAAAACAAATGGAGACATGGAGTATATAAATTCATGCATAACTTTTATAGAGTATTATTTAATACCGACAACTAGACACTACGTATAGTTCTGCTCGATTATTTTCTTATATGCGACCAATTAAATAATATTGTATTATCTTATGTGGGATTAATTGCTCTAATGCACAACCAAATGGCCCCTTGAATTGAGAAATGAGGAGCGAAATAATTTTTAATTACGATTATCTATTGTATAACCATCAATGCCTATACTATTATGCACAGTATAGATAACCACTATATACACAATAAATCAATCGACCCTTATGTCTAAAGTCTAACAAGCTAGAAAAGCTTCATGTTGTGCTTCTAATATTGATTCCTCCTAAATCCTAACATATACATCTGCCTTGACCGCTAAGGAAAAATCATATGGAACATAAAAATTGATTGTGATGATCGATAGGTCATCTAGAGTTTTAAACCCTAATCCCGTATTTCGGAACCTCAAATATCTTATTTTAGCCTTACTTGATTTGCGTGCACAGTCCGAGGAAAAAAATTGATAAACTATGAAATTTTACCTTAAAAATCTGTTTGAGTTGACTTCGGTCAACGTTTTGAGCAAATGGACCCGGATCCGTACTTTGACGGTCCCGTTGGGTCTGTATCGTGATTTGGAACTTGGGCGTATGCCCTGAATCGAATTCGGAGGTCCCTACCTCGAGTTTTTTTGTATTTTGTTAAAAAATTGAAGTTTGAAGGCTTAATGAATCTAAAAGTTTGACCAATATTTGACTTTGTTGATATCGGGTCCGTATTTTGGTTTCGGGACCCGGTATAGGTCCGTTACTATAGTTATGACTTGACTGTCGAATTTGGTGAGAAACAACGTTAGTTTGACGTGTTCGGACGTCCGGTTGTTAAAATGTCAAATCTAAAGTTTTCTTGAAAATTTTATTTGATTTGCTGTCCGGTTCATAGTTCTAGGTGTTATTTTGACGATTTGATCGCGCGAGCAAGTCGTATGATGTTGGCATATTTGGTTTGGAGCCCCAAGGGCTCGGGGTGAGTTTTGGATAGGCTACAGAGTGGTTTGGACATAGAAAACAAAGTTGGCGTGCTTCAGTTCTGGTGCACACCTCAGACCTCGCAATTGCGAGGTCAGGCCTCACATTTGCTACGTTGCAGAATCCCTTTCAGGTTCGCAATTGTGAAGAATAACTGGGCACCACAGGTTCGCATTTACGACCAATTTCTTCGCAATTGCGAAGTGGGCCGGGGGGGGGGGGGGGGGAGGACAGTGTCGCATTTGCGATCAAATGATCGCAATTGCGGGGTGTTCATGTTTGCAATTGCGAACAAATCATCGCAATTGCGATGACAACAGGAATGTGAGACCTTCGCAATTGCGAAGGATTTCTCGTATTTGCGGGTTCGCAATTGCAAACCCCAGGTCACAATTTCGACGCCTGCACCTAAACAAAATCCGAGTTTGACGAGAATTTTCTCATTCTTTCAAATTTTCAAACCTAGAGAACCCTAAAGGCCATTTTTTCAAGAGTCCTTCTTCCCCAATTTATTGGTAAGTGATTCTAACACACTTTCTTTCACTTTTTCAGTGCATTTCATAAGATTTCAACCTAATATCTAGGATTTTCATGGTGAAAATTGGGGGTTCGAGTAGAATTAGAGATTTTTATAAAATTAGAATTTAGACCTCAAATTGAGGTGGAATTTCGAAACAAATTACATAACCGGGTCCGGGGGTGAATAGGTAATCGGGTTTTGATCCGAATTTCGGGTTTGGACCAAGCGGGTTTGGAGTTGACTTTTGTTGACTTTTTCAATAATGACCTAAATTAAATCTTTTGCAATCATGGGTAGTTCCTAAGACTTATTTTGAATCGTTTGGTTGATAACTTGCTAGATTTTGTTGATTCGGAGGCTTGTTTGAAAGGCAAAGCCGTGCTTGAGCTTTGAGTTGATCTTTGGAGCGAAGTAAGTGTCGTGATTAACTTTGACTTGAGGGATTATGACTTGTTTGCCTATTTGCTACCTGTTTAGATGATGGGTACAACGTATATGTAAGGTGATGAGTACTTATGCATTGTTGTTGGGTTAAAGCATGCGGGTGGGACTTGTTTCTTGTAATTTATTACTTTCCTTGATCATGTTATCCATGCTTAGACTAGTTAATCACTAAATTGATTGTTCTTCCCGCATTTAGGACTGTCTATGATAATTGAGTATTGTTTCTGAAGTTGAGGTTGGTTTGTGGAACCATTAGTGACATAAAGCTTGTCCTTATTTATTTCATATCCCTATTGTTATATGTTCATTGTTATATGGTAAGGGGAGTGTTAATGCACGAAGGGTGATGCCATGGCATATTTGAGAGTTAATGAACGAAGGGTGATTTCGTGCCATATTTGACAGTTAATCTACGAAGGGTGATTCCGTGACATATTTGAGAGTTAATGCACAAAGGATGATGACGTGCCGTATCTATTGATTTATGATGAAAGTGAGAGTAAAAGCACGAAGGGTGATGTCGTGCCGTTATTATTTATTCATAATGAGGTGGAGAGTAAAAGCACGAAGGGTGATGCCGTTCAGTTTTATTGATTATGTTTATTCGTGTTACTGCTTAAAGGCTTATTGACTGTTCTTGTTATCATTTCCTGCTGTAGTTATTGTATCTTGTACCCTTTTGCATGT